CTTCATGGTATTTTCTTATACTTTCCTCCTGGTCTGAAATACTCAGGAAGTTCTCCGCTAATCAGCATGATCCACACACTTCATTTTTCAACTCAAATTTTACTTTCTTTGTTTGCTTTTCCGTGACCACTCAGGCTATAGTTCTCTCCCCATCTCCGATTTCCTACTATAATTATTTGTGTAAGTCTCTAGGCTTTTATTTATGGCTTTGCATTGTTATGTTATCATGTGAAGGAGATTTATATGTCTCTTCGCCTGTAAACCCTTCATTGTAAAACTCTTAGTACCTTGCAAAATTTTGCATGATGGATAGGCTTATGTTGTGGGTTGTATTTGTAGTGGTTTTGTAAGGCGAGGTGGCAGGAATAAGTTATGGGTGACAGAATAAGTTGAAAACAGGACCTACGTACCATTGTCCATCACAATCTAATTTCTTTATTATGGATTGCATTTATTTAGGGTTCTTAGTCCTCTTTACTCACCTGTCTCGTCATAATCGTAGACTTTCACGACAGCAGGTTTCAGGTCTCTTACGGGGATGGCTTGTTGAAGTATGAAGGAAAAGCTCAGGGTCTGATTGGTAACCTGCAAAAGGAAAGCAAGAATAATCCAGAACCGGAGAGGCCTCATTTCTCTTTCTTTAGTGTGATTCAGTATTCATCCTTTGAGGAACAAAGGATTTTTTTTATTAAAATTTTTTTTTCTAATGTTTGTTTATTTTTGACATAGAGATGGACGGACAGACAGAGCGCAGACAGAGGAGGGGCAGAGAGAGAGGAAGACACAGAATCCGAAGCAGGCTCCAGGCTCTGAGCTGTCATCACAAAGCCCGACGTGGGGCTCTAACTCACAAACCATGAGATCGTGATCTGAGCTGAAGTCGGACGCTTAACCGACTGAGCCACCCAGGCGCCCCAAGGAAGAATTCTTAGTTGGCTGATAGCATTCGATCTCAAGCCAATTGTCCTTTCTAACAGCTCACGTGCATGAATGGTGATACGGATTTTCCAGTAGGAACCTGAGCACCTAGAGAATGGGGTTTTTGTTGAATAAAAAGTGTACCAGTTTTTTTTTAACCCGTTAAAACAATTACTACTTCCTCGTAATGTCTAATACATGGCTCTGCTCATAGGGAGAGATAAATTCTTTTTACTGGCAGACTCTATCCATATTAATATTTTCTTTTTCTAAAGTTTATTTATTTATTTTGAGAGAGAGAAGGAGAGGGAGAGAGCGAATCCAAGCAGGTTCTGCACTGTTGGTGAGGAGTGTGATATGGGTCTTGAACTCACGACTGTGAGATCATGACCTGAGCCGAAGTCAGACGTTTAACCGAATGAGCCACCCAGGGGCCCCCACGTTAATGTTTTCAAATATCTGAAAAACATTTTTCAAAGCGTAAACATACATGTACGAAATCAGAGTGGTGTTCTTGTGTTGCTAATGAAATCAATAACATTACTTTATAAAATGGACTATGATTAATACATCTAGACTGATCATCTTTATCTACCATTTATCTATCAATCAACCAATCAACTAACCATGTATCTATCATCTGTCTAATTTTTTGTATCCGTGCATGTTAAATGAGATTGATATCACTGATCAACTCTTGGGAACGCTTCCTATCCTTTTTTTTAATGTTTATTTTTGCAAGAGAGACCGAGAGAGAGTGTGAGCCAGCATGAGTGGGGGAGGAGCAGAGAGAGACAGATACTGAAGATCCGAAGTGAGCTTTGCTCTGACAGCAGAGAACCCGATGTGGGGCTCGAACTCATGAACCATGAGATCATTAATGCCGAACTCAGACGCTTAACCGACTGGGCCACCCAGGTGCCCCAACACTTCCTATCCTTCGTCGTAACTTTCGACAGGGCTTCTAAATGATCAGGCCTGTTTGCGGAAAAGAGTGTTTCCCTGAAGTAAATGGAAATGCTCATAGTGCCATACTAGTATGAACAAATCCATGCCCACTGGCCTTCCCAAGCCCCCTTGCTCCTGACACTCCCAAGTTCCAGGGAAGCCTGCAGTGGGGAAAGAGAATTCACAACATTATCTTATGGAACAGAGAAGACGTGCTTTCTCAAAAGGCTTTCCTTCTGATTGCTCTTCCCATATCATGTACTTCCCAGGTGAAGAGACCCACCGGAAAGGACTTTCCACTTGGATGTGTTAAGCAAGGCTGCAGGGCCCTTACCTGTTCCACATAAATCAACACATTGCTGTTCCTCGCTTTCTCCTGCCAATGTGGCTAGATCGTTCAAGATGAGGAAAATGAGAGAAATCCCCAATGTTAACTGAAGCCCTTCAGTGCTAAGAGACACGTAGACCGTGGGACTGAAGTCTGTATTAAAAAAGCTGAGATTAAATGTCTTTAAATAAAGAGTGTGAAGATATTTGTCCAGTAGAATGGCAACATATACAGGAAATTGTGAATGCCAGTACTTAGACACAAAGGTAAATATTCCTATGACTAAGAAATAGGTATCCCTGGCTTTTGTTTAAAGGTATCCTTTAGGGGTGCCTGGGTGGCTTGGTCGGTTAAGCGTCTGACTTCGGCTCAGGTCATGATCTCACGGTCTGTGAGTTCGAGCCCCGCGTCCGGCTCTGTGCTGACCGCTCAGAGCCTGGAGCCTGTTTTGGATTCTGTGTCTCCCTCTCTCTCTGCCCCTCCCCTGTTCATTCTCTGTCTCTCTCTGTCTCAAAAATAAATAAACGTTAAAAAAAAAAATAAATAAATAAATAAATAAAGGTATCCTTTAACCAAAGGATAAAGGGAGAAGTATCCTCAAGTTGGATAGCGATTCATTTGAGATTATCTATGAAGGTATCTTTCTCTAGTCTAACATTGATCTCAGCTTTCTCTGAATTCTCGCGGTATTTAAAAACTATACCAACAATTTTGGTGCTTAATTATATCTTGCCCTTAAATGTTACTCGATAGCTTCAGTTATTGTTTTTTTAAAAATTTTTTTTTCTTTTGGTATTCTTAATTAGAATGTAGGCTCAATTGATCCCAACATCTTTCTTACAATTCTTGTATTGGAACCTAACACAACGCTAACGATACACTTGGTCCCAGATAGATTCAGTTTCCTTAGATTAGGCCCAATGTTGCCCTGGTGCACGTTGACATGGTGAGAATGTTGTTGGCGTAGCCTTATGCTAGGGAGACAGGAAATTCAAACACCTACCATCCATTTACCATGTTCACTGTTGGTTTCAGGGGAATGAAATCACACACCATTTTACATCGGCGATCGCCTTGTTGGAGGCCGCGTGGCTTCCTGTCTAGCTGTAGACCCAAGAAAGAGAAGAACCAGGCCTCCCGATGTGTTGAATCCTGCTCTCCTTCAAGGTCCACCACAAGCCTTTTGTCAAGTAGCTTTTTTAAGTAGCTTTCTCTACATAGCTTTCCTAACTGCTGCCTTGTCCTCAGTGACATTTCCATCCTTAGAAATATATAGTCAATGTATTTTTATAGACGGCATGAGTGGTTCTGAAAACTGACTATATAACAGAATCAGCTGCAGAACTCATGAAAATATAGATGCCTGGGCACAGCTCCAGAAATACCGAATTAAATCTCTGAGGGGGGAACCTGGAAATATCAATTTTTAAATAAATTTTACAAAAGAGGATAACTAGATTTTAGAATCTCTGGTATCTACTAATGCCTTGAAACGTACACATTTTAGGTTAATGAATATCTTTTTCTTATGTGCAAATGACCTTCACAACTAGACTATAGATTCCTTTAGGTAAGATACCTATCTTTTTATATTCCCCAGAGCTTCGTGAATGTATTTTTGCTCAATTAATGTAACTCACTTTTATAAAATACATTTAGCTTATTTGTCTTTTGACGATGGGCCAAATTGTGAATATTATTTTTTTCTTTTCGTCTGGGAGCCATTGGATTTTCTTTAAAAAAATTTTTTTAACGTTTAGTTTTGAGACATAGAGAGACAGAGCATGAACGGGGGAGGGTCAGAGAGACAGGGAGACACAGAATCTGAAACAGGCTCCAGGCTCTGAGCTGTCAGCACAGAGCCCGACTTGGGGCTTGAACTCACGGACCGCGAGATCACTACCTGAGCCGAAGTCGGCCGCTTAACCGACTGAGCCACCCAGGTGCCTCCGGATTTTACTTTTAGGTAATCTTTCCACCCAGTATGGGGCTTGAAATCACATCCCTAAGATCAAGAGTCACACGCTTCCCTGGACTGAGCCAGCCAGGTGCCCCAAGACCCATTAGATTTTGTAATTGTAGCCAGAGTCACCTTTTCTGTTCCAAGTAAGGCTTTTGAAGAATGCTAGTGAATTGTGAATTATTTTTCTCTAGAAAACTAGAATTTTATTTTATTATTTGAGAGAGAGAGAGAGAGAGAGATTGCACACACGTGAGCAAGGGAAAGGGGCGGAGGGAGAGACAGAGAATCTCAAACAGGCTCCATGCTAAGCACAGAGCCCAATGTGGGGCTTGATCTCACAAACCTGGGATCATGAATTGAGACCATATCAAGAATTGGATGCCCAACTAAGCCTCCCAGGTGCCCCTAGAAAACTGGAATTTGAAAAGAAGATTTCCTTTGGAGGTAAGGAAGAATGAGTTCACATTGAAGTACTTTTGAAAGTATTATTGAAAGGACTTGTTTATTCTTCAGCAATCATTGTGGGTAATAAAAGAATCCTAGAGGTAGACAAATTGGGCCCATAACTGTACCAATTCTTC